AAAAAAAAAAAAAAAAAAAAGTCTTTTAAAACTTCAGAGTATTCTTGAAACTCCCAGAAACTCTATTCAAGGGCATTCTGCAATGAGTATAAAAAACAGGTCTTTGTCAATGTTCATTTACTGAAGAATTTTGCTTTATTAAATCAGGAATTGAGTTTCTATCTTTTTACTAACAGCTAACAGAGCCAGGGAATCAAAAGGCACTAGGGTAATTACTTTCCCTAAAAATCAAAAGTAAAAGCACCCAGTCTTCAACCTCAGAGCAAGAAAATCTGCTTATTATCAAAGGCAAAGGTTCACCCAAAGGTAAACCAGAGTCAACTGCCAGAATTTTTAGGCAATAGAAAGAACAAATGCATAAGTTGCTGACTTTGTTACAGTGTAGTGTTTATAGACCATTTAATGCAGTGTTTCCTTGCCAATTAAAAGCATAGGATTTACCTTTCAGTTTTACTATCTTTGCCTGACTCATACTAGTAATATGAGCCAAAGGGATTAAGCAAACGGCTGGATACATACATCTGCAAAACTATCTCTACTGGAAACTACCTTCAGGGTGAAAGGAAATGATATAGGGCCCTGAAATAGGGATTGGTTGGATTTCCTTTAGATATAATTGGTACAACTAGAAATGGATTCGGATTTATAATGCCAAAATCTGATTATCTGGCCATTGTAGAGATTCTATGAGCTACCTAATAGTCTTTAATAAAGCTTGCTGTTATAACTAGCAAAAGAGGACTCAAACACAACAGTAAGCCACAAGTAACTGATGGCAAAGATTCTGGAGTCAATAAGCCCAAAGAGAAACTGGAATCTCTGGCGGGTTTTAAAACTCAGTTGCCATTACGAGATTGGTAGTCCGTTGTACACAGGGCAAATGTTACTTGAATGACCACCTGTAGGAACATGAAACGAAGCACCTGCTCTTGACAAGACCGAGTTTCCTCTGGCTCTAAACAGGAAAGCTTCAAGGGAGAAAATGCCAAGTTCAATATTCAAATTCTTGGCACACGGCACAATCACAGAATAAAGCGTTACTATGACTAGCCATTAAAAGGTCTCCTACATCTTGCAGTTGCTCTGCCATGATCACAGAAGGGCAGGCACAGAACATGATCCGGTTTTGCTCAACTGGAATGTGGGCTGACTTCACAGCTCTGTTAAGCACAAGTTCGGACACTGATTGAGAAAAAGGGGAGAGTCGATTGGTACCACCGAACACTTAAAAACAGCAGGCCTCCCTTACCGATGAAATAGTTCCCTCTTCCATTAGTTTGCTCCTGACCTCATACAAGAGCCTCCCTCCTGCAACCTCCTATGTTCTGGGAATGGAGCCCAGGGCTCTGGGCAAGTTAGGCAAGTGCTACCAGCCCCACGCAAAAGCCCTTCTGTGAGTGCTGCACCTGAGGTAGGTGCTTCTCAAGCAGCCCCCCCACTCCTGTTTCTATGTCTAGCAGAGACGTAGTGTCCTTTGATGTACATTGCAAAGTCAAACCACAGGATGTACACGAGATTACAAGGACTAACTTATATTACCAGAAACTTGGAGAATAACTGCAAAAATGGATTTTGAGGATACTAGATTAGAGGGGAACATAGTTTTAGGCTGACTAAACTTACAAAATGAAAGCACATATCGAAAATTCTGGATCCAATATTCCAGTTCTAGGTAACCCGGGTTGCTTCCAAATGATTTTGCTCTTGTTTAACTGACTCAGATCTGGACTCTGATGGCTATGCTGACTGAGGGTGAGATTCCAGATGGTGTCACGTGGTGGGAAATACGCAATGATCTAAGAAGAAAGAATAACAGACCCCAATTAGCACAGACAACTTATTTATCAGTCCCCAACTGCGCCTCCCAAAGTCTAAGATGTTCACCAAGGCAATGAAAAAGACATAAACGCTGAGGAAAGTACCCGTTTCCAGGAAAAACACCACCATGGTTGAACTCTGTGGGTCAACACAAGGTGGAAAAAGCTACCCTTGCAAATGGGTTCCATTATTTCAATAAAGATGATGGGGCCCTTGGAACGTGGTGGCCAGTGTAAGTAAGCCAATTAAATTATTAAATGTTGGGGGGCCAGGGATTTAGCTCAATGGTGCCACAACTTCTGGGGATTTAGCTCAGTGTTTCCGCCGCCTGCCTCGCAAGCAAAAGGTCCCCAGTTCGATCCCTGGTACCAAAAAATAAAAAATAAAAAATAAACAAGGTCCTAAGTTTGATCCCCAGTATGGGAAAATAAATAAATTATTAAAGATAAAGTTTTAAATTCTATCAAAAACAATCATATAAAGAATATGTAAAACAGAAAACTGCCAGCCAGGGTGTACATGCCTGTAATCCCAGCACTTAGAAGGCTGAGGCAGGAGGATCGCTGCAAGTTTGAGGCCAGCCTGGGCTACACAGTGAGACCTTGTCTCAAAAAACCAAAAATAAATAAATAAAAAGAAAGAAAAGAAAGCTGTTTCTTGCAAGTATTTTTTAAAAATAAACCTCTTGACAAACTGGATAGTGGGGAGCAAAAATATACAACCTTATGATTTAAAAACTGGTGACAGGGCAGGGGATCTAGCTCAGTGGTGCTGCCACCTGCCTCACAAGTGCAAGGTCCCAAGTTTGATCCCCGGTATCAAAAAATTAAAAAGTGGGGCCAGGAATTTAGCCCAGTGGTTCCGTCGCCTGCCTCACAAACGCAAGGACCCAAGTTCAATCCCCGGTACCAAAAAAAAAAGTAAAAAATAAATAAAAACTGGTGACAGGGCCAGGGATGTAGCTCAGTGGTTCCGCCACCTGCCTTGCAAGCCGAAGGTCCCGAGTTCTATCCCCAGTACCAAAAAAAAAACTGGTGATAAGCAATGATGGTGGTGGTGGTAGTGGTGATGATGATGATGATTTGCAGGACTGGAGATTAAAAACAGAGCCTTTGTACTGAGCTACATCCCCCGCCCTCACCCCTTTCTTTTTGACAGGGTCTGGCTAACTGCCCTGGCTAGGCTAGAACTTGAAATCCTCCTGTCTCAGCCTCCCAGAGTGCTGGGATTATAGGAATACACCACTACACCAGGTTGAAATTTATTTTTAATTGTTGGTAAATCATTGATGTTTAAAGTAAAAAGTATCCATGTAAATCTATGGAAACTAGACTTGCTCTGTGTGTCTCCTCCTGTCCTGAGGTGAAGCCCCACTCTGGAAACACCATCTCCTGACTCTTCCCCATCATGCCAGAGTCGCAGGAGCTCAGGCGCCCACTGCCTGACCAGACCCATGTAGCTCGGATTGCTCCTTCTATTTCTGGACTCCAAGGATGACTCGAACAATTGGTGTTGCTCAGGCGTGGGATCTGGCTCCGAACACATGTCCCAGGAGCCTGGTGATGCAACCGGAAGTGCAGGGCATGAACTTCCAGAGGGGCAAACACTGACCAGTGGGACAAATGTGAGTCCATCTCCTTCCTCCCTCCAGCACTATTTTCTGTAGGTGCAGCCTATCCAGTGATGTCCCGTCTCAATGAGCGTCACGCTCTGCCAGGCTTGGTGGAGCATGCCTATGATCCCAGCACTCTGGGAGGCTGAGGCAGGAGGATCAAGAGGTCCAGGCCAGCTTGTGTGATCTACTGAGTGAGTGAATGAGTGAGTGACAGCCTGTCTCAAAAAATGAGGGGGCTGGATGCTCAGTGCAAATCCCCTGGGTTCAATTTCTAGTACTACAAAAAATAAAATAAAATAGCATCACACTCCACACTTCCTGAGACAGTGGCCAGCCTGATACTGTGCCAACTGGCATTTGTCTTCCATCCTCCCAGTCTCCTTCCCATCTCCCTCTCTCTGCTGTGTCAGTCAGCTTTTCACCACTGTGACAGGATACCTCAGAGCAAAGGTCTGCTCTGGCTCAGGGTTTCTGCTCCTGGTACCTTGGCTCCACTGTTCTAGGCCTGAGGTGAGGCAGAAACACAACTGGAGGTGCAGCAAAGGAAAGCTGCTCACTTCTTGGCCACCAGGAAGCACAGAGAGATGGAAAGGGCCAGTGAGGAAGGGGTGGGGACAAAATATACCCCGCAAGCTGGGCATGCAAGGTAATTCCAGCCTGTGGGAGGCTGAGACAGGACGACTGCTGTGAGTTCAAGGCCAGCCTGAACTACACTGTGAGACCCTGTGTCAAGAATAGACAGACAGACAGACAGATAGATAGATAGATAGATAGATAGATAGATAGACAGATAGACAGATAGATATCCTGCGAAGCCACACCCCCAGTGACCTGCTTCATCTAATTAGGTCCCATATTCTAATGCATCCACTGAGCTAGGAACTCAAGGATGGATTAATCCACTTGATGAAGTCAGAGCCCTCGTGATCCAATCACTTCCCAAAAGCCCATCAGCTCTGCACACTGCAGCACTGGGGACCAAGCCCCCAGCTCATGATCCTTGGGCAACATATTACATCCAAACCATAAGACTCAGCCTCCCCGACTTTCACCTCCCAATGGAGCATCACCACGCATCACAGTCACTTCCCTCGTCCCTGTGTCACCATAGCCAGCACACACAAATTAAAGAATGAGAGGTTCCTTTCGGCTCACAGCTTTAGAAGTTTCAGTTTATGGCTGGCTGGCTCAAAAAAATCAGCTCACCGCATGGTGTCCAGGAAGCAGAGAAAGAAGGGAGGAGCCAAAAGGAAAATGTCCCTTCCAGGTCACATCCTGAGTAACCAGACCCCCTCTCCTAACAGCAAGTCAGCCCCATAACCCAGTCACCTTCCAAACACGTGAGGTTTGGGGGCTGTTTTAGATGCAAATCATCACACCACTCAGGCCTCTTTTTCCAAGGAACCCAAGCTAAGAGAGTAATGAATTTGAAAATTCAGAGAAAATGACTGGTTTCCTACCAAAATAAGAGCAACTATACTTAACCAAATAGGAGGTAGAAAACCTGAACATATTAATAATTACAGAAGATGCTAGAAATCAAAGTCCATGCAGGTAAGTTTAGATGGCTGACCCACTGATTTAACTGCTGTGTGGTGGTGTTGATTGCATGGGCATGGGAACAGCAGAATCTCCACAGAACAAAAACCCAACAATCTATCATGACCTGTCAGGTGAAAATATTCACCAACCACTGACGCTGTGTTTTGCCCCTTATTCTCAGTGTAACAAATCATTACAGACACAGGCTCTGGAAAGAGATGGACACAAATCCCCATCCTTTCTCCTGAGTACTCGGGAAAGCTTAACTCTTCTGACTTAAGTTTTCCTCATCATAAAATGAGAGAAACAGTACCTACCTTGTAGGATTACTGTGCTAATTAAAAGTGATAATTCTTGTAAGATGCTTAGCACAGTGGCTAGCAGATACTAAGTGTTGTGTTCAAGGTATGTTGGCTGTTTTTACCTGCCCCAAACATGATCATTTCATATACTTCTACAGACAGGTTTCCGAATTAATTTTTAATTCTATTTAGTTAACCCATTTTAAATGGGAGGTTTTTTTGTACATTTTGAAGAGCTGTATGATAAGAAACACCCAGTTGATTTCTTGAAAAAGCTAGGGCTCCATGACCATCTTTAGCCATGAATTAAAAGCAATGAATGCTGACAAGAGAAGGGATCACTGTGCTACTCAGCTTTCTGTTGCTGTGACAAAATACCTGACATAAACAAAGGAATAAAAGCTTATCTTGGCTCACGGTTTCAGAGGTTTCGGTCCATGGTCTGCAGTCTCCATTGCATTGGGCCTGTAGTGAGGCAGAAATATAACAGCAAAAAGACATGGTGGAGGAAAGCTGATCATTTCATGGAAACCAGGAAAGAGAGAGAAAAAGCCAGAGAAAGAGGCCAGGTATCATGCATCATCACCAAGCTTGTGCCCCATGATCCACACCTTTCAATCAGGCCCACCTCCTGCTTCCATCACCTCCCAATAATGCCATCAATTGCTCTCATGAATGGATTAATTCACTGATGAGGTTGGAGCTCTCCTGATCTGTCTCTGGAGACACCCCACAGACACACTCAGAAATGTGCTTTACTAATTTCCTGGGCATTTCTCAATCCAATCAAAGTGACAGCCAAGATTAACCATCACAATCACCACAGTGAGCCCATGACATATACACATTCAACAGCTATTAAATGTTGAAATGTTTAGTCCTTAGAAAGATACTCTGCTTAGTGTTTTAAATTAATTAAATTTCTAATAGTTACAACTACCCTGAAAAGTAGGCATGGCCAGCAACTGTTAGGTGTACCATGGCAACATAGTACTGAGATGCCACCCCAACTTTCGGATCCACCACTGTGATGAGTCCACAGCCATCAATGTTGAGGTGAGGCTCACCACCAGGCAGAAAGATTACAACCTCCTGCAGGTTCAGATGAACATTAGCATCTTAGCAATAAACTATTTTTTCATTATGGTATGTACATTATTAAGCAAATGCTATTGCAGAACTAATACACTAAGTTATATGACTCAATTAATATCAATACTTAACTTTATTGCAGTGGTCTGGAACTGAACCAGCAATACGTCCAAGGTATGCCTATCTACCCAAAGGAAATGAAATCAATGTGCTCAAGAGATTCCCACACTGCCATGTTTATCTTGGCATTATTCATAATGGTCAAGTTTTGGAATCAACTTAAGTGTCCAGCACTGGATGATTCGGGTGAAGAAAATGTGGGATATATAGCCACCCTCTGTACCTGTGCAGTCTGCATCTGTAGATTAAATCTGCCTCAAATGGAAAATACAGTGAACCCTCGAGTTACAATCAGCCTGACATACAAACAACTTGGGTTAGGGCCAGGGGTTTGGCTCATTGCTTCTGCAGCCTGCCTTGTAAGCACAGGGTCCTGAGTTCGATCCCCAGTACCAAAAATAAAAATAAAAAAACAAACAACTTGGGTTATAACCAGAATTTTAGTTTTAACTTATGACCAAAGTCTTGAGTTATGACCCAAATCCCGGTTGCTTGTGCTTCCAGATGGTCTCAGATACAGATTTAACCCTTAAAGAGTTCTAGAAGGAACATTACAATGTCCTTTCCTGGGTGGGGTTAACTGAGAAATCCTGGGCCAGTGTCTCTCTAAAGACATTGAGATCTGCCTGTGTAGAGGAGAGAAACTTTGAAGGCTAAGGACCCTGAGCCTTCATTGACCAACTTGAGTTACAGCCAGCCTGTAAACAAACTGAATTCATAAGGCAAGGATCCACTGTTATTATTACAATGGGTGCTCATGGGTAAGAGAGAACAGAAGTAGAATGTGGAAAGAAAAAAATACAAACAGGAAAGAAAGGTAAGGAGTAACAGGTAAGTTTCAACCATGTTAAGCGCCTCAACTGAAATAGATGTGACTTTTCTTGACGATTATACCCAGCTGAAAAGATTATCTAAAGAAAACGGCTGCCATCCTCACCTCTTCTCTCATCCTTTTTACTTTTCATATACATTTGTTCAGATTATTAAACTTCTTAAACGTGTCTAACTTCTCAGATTTTACTCTTTCAAATAACTAGCATTTATACTAGAATCAGAAAAAATATTGTTTTTGACAAAATTTGATGACTGCTTACCTTTATGGATGTTTTCTCCCAAGGCCTCCATTTGTTTTTACTTGCACCATGTGCTAACTGACTTTGCTACATTTTCCATGATTCTGAGCCATCTGAGCCATCTCCTGGCTTTAGTCCTTTGAAGGAAAGAAAACGCTGAGTCCCCACCCAGGAGCACTTCTTGCCATCACTTTTCATGTCAGGAATGATTAGGAAGGACACACATCCAGGTGTCTGTCAGGCAGTGGATGGAGAGCACCAGATCAGCCCCGGAATACTGGCTCTGTCCTCGATGGGACCTTACTGACTAGGTGACTTCAGGCAGACCACTCAAACTCTCTGAGCTTCATTTTCTTATCAAAAAATGGAGGGAAGGCCAGAGATTTAGCTCAGTGGCATCGCACCCACCTTCCAAGAGCAAGGTCCTGAGTTCGATCCCTGGTACTGAAAAAAAAAAAAAGCAGGGGGTGGGGGATGGCAAAAATCACAAATCTGTGGTAAGGAACAAATAAAACAATGAGGCTTCATGTCCTCCTGGATATTCTTTCCTGTTGATTGCAGATATTAAAAATATTCCTGAGAGGGGCTGGGGATTTAGCTCAGTGGTAAGGTCCTGAGTTCGATCCCAGGTCCCCCCCCACAAAAAAACCCCTAAAAATCCTTAGCCTCAAAAAGTATGGTGAAGGGATTTAGAAACAATAAATATTTATTTCTCACAGTTCCAGAGGCCAGGAAGTCCAAGATCACGTTGCCAGAAGATTCCATGTGTGCTAAGGTTCACTTCCTGATTCACTGACTACATCTCACTGTGCCTTCATATGGCTGAAGGTACAGGAGCTCTTTAGGGTCTCATTTATAAAGTCATTGATTTCATTCACGAGACTGCCTTCATGACTTAGTCTCCACTCAAAGCCCTACCCCTAACACCATCATAATGAAGGTCAAATTTCAACATATGAATACTGGGGTCCCCTAAACATTTAGTCTGTAGCAGTTCACCCCCAGGCCCCAAAATCCATGTTCTTCTGACACACAGCATATATTTATTATATCCCAACAGCCCCAAAGTCTTAACTAATTCCAGCTTCAGCTCTAAAGTTTAAAAGCTTCTGCTGGGCATAAAGCTCAGTAGTAGCATGCTTGTCTGGTACTCACAAGGTCCTGGGTTTAAATTCCCCTGGACCAAAAATAAAATGGAACAAATAAACTCGGTGTTCTTAAAATCCAAAGTCTCATCTAAATATCCTCTAAAATTGGATATGGTGAGACTCAGGGTATGATTCATCCTGAGGCACATTCCTCTTCACCTATGAATCTGTCAACCCATATAAATTATGTGTTTACAACCATGGGAAAGACATAAGATAGACACTCCCGTTCTAAAAAGAAGAAATCAGAGAGAAGAAAGAAAATAGGAGTGCCAAGTCCCAGGTAAATGCAAAACCCAACCCAACCTGGTAAATGATGTTAAACCTTAAGGCTCAGGGTTAATCTTCAGTCGAGACTGTGACCTCCAGTCCCCCTCGGTCAGAGATCCTATCTTTTGGACATACTGAATGAATCCTGCCTTCATCGCTGCCCCTGCACACTTTCCAGGCAGGCTCTGGGCCCAGAGCTCCAGGAAGCTCCACCCCGCAGCACATCTCCGCCCCTGCCCCGCAGCTCTTGGGGCTGGGGTGCCAAGCCCATGCCATTACTGGGAGGCCCATCCTTTGAAGTCTCGGTAGGGGCAGCCTTATCCCCACAGCTCTGCTGGAAACACCCCATGCCACACCAGGACCTACAGGAGCTTCCCTTGGGATGCCAAAGAGTCCAGAGCTTAAGTGTGAGGAGACAGCAGACACCAGCAGCCCCTACTCTGAACCATTCTTCCCCCTGGTCCCCTCCTACCATGCATTTTGTGCCTACAGTGAGTGGTAAAGACAACACTGAAGATCTCTGCATTGCCATCCATGGTCTTTCTTCTGTGGTCTCAGTGAAAAGCTCCTAGCTTCTGTTGAGATGGCTGCCCATTTGGCCATACCCTAGTGTTCTCTCCCGAACAGGATTTCTTATTCCTTTCAATACAATAGTTTGAAATTTTTTATGTCTTTAAGTTCTGTATCCTTGTTGATTAACAATTCTATCTTTAAGTTATTTCTCTCTTTTTGCAAAAGGATGCCACTTCTTCAGCACTCGCTTAGAAATTTCTTCAGCCAATATACAAGCCAGTATCTTCAGCCAATAACTTGTGAACTTGTTTGAAAGTTCTACCTACCTACCAAAAAATACTAGGTCATGAACGCAAATTCAGCCAAATTCTGTGCCACTTTATAAGAAACATCACCTTTCCTCTACTCTCCCTTAATACAGCCTCTTTTCTGAGATCTCATCAGAATGGCCCTTACTATCCATATTCCTTTTGATATGTCTGAAAGTAAGTTTCTCAATCATTCTTTTGTTTAATGAGCCCTCACTAGAATTGCCTTTATAAGGCTCTCTGTGGTAATGTAGGCTTTTTCTAGCATGCACCTCAAAACTCTTCCAGGAGGGCCAGGGATTTAGCTCAGTGGTTTTGCTGCCTGCCCTGCAGCACCAGGACCCGAGTTCGATCCCTGGTACACACACAAAAAAAAACTCTTCCAGCCTCTGCCTATCACCTAGTTCCAAAGTGGTTCCACATTTAGTTACTTGTTATAGAAGCACTTCCTCTTCTTGGTACTGTTAGATTTCCCTCACCTTAAAATGGCTGCTACATAAAATGGCAGCCTTCTCCTTCCCATAATACCCTGCTTCCCATTTAAAAATATGGCTTCATCCGCCAAAAGACAACCTTCTTCCCAACATGGCCCTCTTCCCACCTAGCAACTAGTGATGTCACAGGCTCCTCCAATCCCAAGCCACTACATCACCCAACCCCACCCCAGCTCCTACAAGCCCCACCCCAGCTCCTATAAGAAGCACTCCCCCTCCTGGTGATATTGCTTCTGTCTCTCCTTTGTTCAGAGACAGCCCGGCAGATCGTCCCTGCAATAAAGGCTTGTTGTAGTTCTGGTCTGGTCTTGGTTTTCAGCTCTTTTACCTGACAGGTACCAATTTCTGTCTTAGACCATTTAGACTGCCCTAACAAAGTACCACAAACTTGGTTAATGATAAAAAAAATTATTATTCACAGTTCTGGAAACTAGAAAATCCACATTCAAAGCATTCAATGTCTTGCAAGGGCTTGGTTCATAGAAGGCCACCTTCATGCTGTGCCCTCACATGACAGACATGACAAGGGTTATCTCTGGATTCTATAAGGGCACGAATCCCTTTCAGGAAAATCCACCTCAGGAGCTAATCACCCCCCGACCCTAAATTTCTACCTCTTAATATCAGATTGAGGATTAGGTTTCAATATAGGAATTTTGTAGAAACATTAATATTCACTCTGATTGCAATCCATAACTGTTGACATATAATCTCATACATATAGACTTTGTCTATATGTTTCATATTAAACCACCTCACAATTATTGGTTAATATTAATAGCTTTAATCTTTTCAAATTACTTCATTGCACCAATCCTTCCATTAGAATGAAACATGCCCAAAGGCTCTAATTCTGAACATGTGTACTTGGAAATCAGTGTCTGGTTCAGACCAAAGAAACTGAGTCACAAAAACAGATGACAAGATTCCATATGTTCTTCATAAACATAGTCTGCTATTAATGTTTTCTTAATATTCTAGAAGGGCATTTCTAATGTGGTTTGCACAATTCAGGAAGTAAATCAAATATTGAAGACAGAAAAGAAGAAAATATGAGAAATACTAATACCTTTTACCTCATTCTTTTGGAATTTTCATTTTTGTAGGTAGCACTAATAAAGTAATATACTAGTATGTATATTAAAAATGTTAGAAATAGTTTTTTCCTAAGTCATAAGCTTTTGCTTCTTTATCCATAAAACAAAGGTATCATAATAAGTACAACCAATTTATAAGGGTAAAAGAATTTCAAATATAGAAAAAGCAATTGCGTTCACTGGGCAGTAAATATTCTTCAAATCTGAAGTCATGATTTTCTTGATTAACAACAGATAAAAATATTTTCTACCAAGAGTACTCATGAAGACAAAATGGTCACGTTTTCTCATGTCACTTTTTTTTTTGGTACCGGGGATCAAACTCAGGACCTTGTGTTTGCAAGGCAGGCATGGTGCCACTGAGCTAAATCCTCGGCCCAATAGTCACATCTTCTAACCTACAAGTCAGAGTAGTGCTTGTAAAACTCTGGAGTCTAACACTTTGGGGTTTTTGTAAGGAAGAGAATGTGCTTCTTAGAGATAAATAAAATCACCTGACTAACAGATCCAAGACTGCATAACTAAGAAACGGTTACACCTTAAGCCCTCATCTTCTCATTCCCAAACCTGTTCTTGCTATTACTGCTACTGCTGCTGCTGTTAATTTTTGTTATAACTGTATCTTTCTGGATCTGGAAGCTTGCATTATAGTTCTGCTTTCACCATTTTCTTGATGAATGGCCTCTAAAGATCCTTTTAATTTTCTCTTTGACCTCAGTTTCCTCATCTTACAAAGAGGAGATGGTAATCTCTACCATGCCTACTCAAAGGGTTTTCAAGATACCATGATAAAATAAGTTCTCATAGTCTGTTTGGGCTGCTATAATAAAATACCCTAAACCAGGTACAGTAACTTATTACCAACAAAAGTTTATCTTTTGGGGCTGAGGACATGGCTCAGTGATAGAGTGCTTGCCTAATACATGCAAGGCTGTGAACATGATGCACAGCACAAAAGAAAACAAATTTCTCCCTCACAGTTCTGAGAGCTGGGAAGTTAAGTCCCGGATTAAGGCACCAGCAGATGGAGTGACAGGTGAGAGTCTGCGGCTGGTTCATAGATGATGCCTTCTGTCTCCCCACATGGTGGACAAGTAGGAGTCTCGCCCAGACCACTTTTACAAAGACACAAGTCTCAACCAAGACCTAATCAATTCCCAAAGCCACCTCCTGATACTATCACCATGGGGGTTAGATTTCAACATATGAAGTGGAGGGACTAAAGCATTAGGATCATAACACATGTCATATATCTTACAAGTCATAAAGCACTTACAAAAATGGAGCAGTGTTTTTATGTGTGTACAGTCAGAGATGTTGCTTCGGGGAAGGACAGATCCAACATAGTCCTGGATATTT